TATTTGAAATGACACAGCGCAGTGCCTGGCCTCGAGAGGGCGCTCAGTTTGAACTTGTGTTATAACGCTGACCTGGCCTCATCACCAGAGAAGCTTTTTAAATTTTGAATATTTACTGAGGGCTCTTCATGTGCCGGCCCAGAACTCAGCACGTCATGTGCATCATCTCATTATCTCTCACAAACATCCACAGGAGGGAGATATGATAATCCCATTTTACAAACAAGACAAGGAGGCATGGGGAGGGGAAGGCCCCCTGTAACGAGGAGGTATAGAGACAAGATTCAAATCCAAGGGCCCAAGCTCCGGGATCAGCATTTCAGATATAAGTGACTTCTAGGCTTCTCACCTTTAATTAGATTCACTCAGCAATTATTTTTTTCTATTCATCTCACAAATATTCATGGCACACCTATGAGGTGTCAGCTCCATGGCTTTTGGCCAGGACTGAAAGTGCTTCTGTGTTCAAACTGCAAGTCTTTGAAATGTCAACTTTTTGCTGCTTCAAACCACATTTGCTTGCTGCCTATGGCCGTCCAGCGCCAAGGGTTTCACTCAACAGCGTCTCTCTCTTATGTACATTCTCACTTGACAACTTCTGCTTGTCAGCATCCTGCACAAAATTCTGTCCTCCAGGAGAGCAGGGAGTTGACCTCCCTCGTCATGGACACCATACCTCTGTTAATGCAGCCCACACTTACTTAACATTAGCGTTTTCAGCTACGTTGCAGGTGTCAGTGCTGCTAACTTCAACCTGACCCTACCTTACAGCCCCTACATCAGATGCACGGCGCTCAAGCTGGCCTAATAACAACGGAGCTTTGCTTTTCTCTCATTGAATTTTATCTCCTTAAATAGGCACCATTCCCATTTTCACTTCTCTCTACCAACCTATGCCCCTCCTGGCTCAGAATGGACCCTAAATACGATTGGCTAATTGTTACGGATTGAATTACATCCTCCCAAAATTCACACTGAATTTTAAAGAGATAACTAGGCCTAAATGAGGTCATAAAGGTGGGTTCTAAAGCAACAGGACTGGTGTCCTTGTAAGAAGGGGGGAGACACCAGGAATGCACATGCTCACAGAGAAAAGGCCATGCGAGAACAGGGCGAGGAGGTGGCTGTCTGTAAGCCAAGGAGAGGCTTCAGCTTGCTAGCTCCCAGAACTTGGACTTTTAGCCTCCAGAACTGTGAGAAAACTAATTTCTGTTGTTTAAGCTCCCCAGTCTATGGTATTTTATTATGACAGCTGTAAATGACTAATATTCCAGTCTTCTGTGTTTTTGTCCAAACCACCGATAACAATAAACAAGATCGAGCCCTGTGGCCCACCACTAGATACCTCCCTCTATGCTGGTATCAACCTGAAATAATCCAAATAATCTCATTTATTAATTTACAATAATAACTATTAGCATCAACTCCTGTTTTTCCAGCTTGTTCGTGAAAAGGCAGCAAAAACCACTTCTGAAACGACTTGCTAAAACTGGGACCCACCACATCTATGTCATTTCATGGATCAACCACATTAATATTCTTATGCAAACTGCTCTGTGATCTTGGGTAAATCACCTGACCCCCCTGGGCCTCACTTGCTTGGTCTGTGGCGTTTGGAAATGGGTGTTCAACCACTGTCACTTTCACTTACTGAGAGCTTCCTGTCAGGGTATTATGCCAAGCCCTGTACACACCCCATTTCATTTCCTCTCAATAGACCCACTAGGTCCCATTTTCCACAACAGGAAACTGTAGCTCAGAGAGGTCAAGGTACTTGCCCAAAGTCACACAGCATGTCAACAGCAGGGTTCTAATTGGAATCCAGGTGGCTTCATGAGTACAAGAGTGTATCTCCCCATCCTGTTACCTGTATTTGTTCTTCTTCCTTGGTGTGAGGGTTGGGGTGCTGCCCCTGGAGGAGGTGGCCTCGCAGCTCCCGTTGGCCCCTGAGGCCCGTGATATCCCTGTGCCCACTCCACTGGTTCTGTTGGCCTTCTCCACCCAGGGTGGGTCAAAGTCTGGTGGTGCGGGCCGGGTAGCCGCAGGGCTGCCAAACAAAGACTCATCCACGTAGGATGCCCTGGCCTTGACCCGGTGGCCGCCCCGGCAACGGTGCTGAAGATGGAGGGTCTGCATCCCACTGATGGCCAGCTCCACGGGGGTCTTCACGCTGCCCATGGTTCCGTGTGATAGCAGGCATGCTTTGCCTGCCAGGTCCTGTCTCCAGGGCTCCCTGTAACAGGGGGTCAGGGTGGCACCCCTGTCATTGTTGGTACCAGCACAGGAAGATGGGCTGTCTCTTAAGTTCCCAACCCAAGGACAAAAGGGGAACTGCCAAACCCAGGGGACACTTCAGAAATTTGTTCGTCTGTCTTTTGGCTGTCACAACAATAGGGAGAGGGGCGCTACTGGCAAATATTTAATGAATAAATGTGCACTCCTAGCATACAGTGCTCAATATTGAACGGGGGATGAAAAAGAGATGGGGCCTGTGCCTATTTTGGCACCGAGAAAACTTAGCATAGTGGGATGCGGGAGACAGGGCACGTCCTTATAACCTGTGTATGTTTATGGGGTGAATAACCAGCATTATCACATGCCTACCTTGTGCAAAAAGCTTCACAAGCATTGTTTCGTGTAATCCTCTTAACAGTCCTTCGAAGTAGCTTCGGTTATGTCCATCCCACAGATGACAAAACTGAGGCTTCAGAAGCCGAAGTCACACCTGTAAGTCGCACCTAATAAAGTTGAAACAGTGGAATAGAAATCCCAACCTGACAGAGGAGTGCAGAGCTTATGCACTTAACCATTCTACTACTGGCGGGTCACACCCATCCCTTCAACCGCCCCATATTCCCCGTTCCCCAAGTCAATACCCCGGTTGATGTCCGCGGTCCCTGCATTCTTGAGTTATTTTCCTACCTGAGCATCTCAGCTCCAGCATGTCGGCTGCAACCTCAGCGCCCCCTCCTCACCAGGTCTGGACTCCTCTGAAGATGCCACCGAGTTCCCAGCTTATCTGCAGCCCGGACCCCGGGAAGCCCGGGAGCCCAGGCACCTCGGGCCGCCCCCAGCCCCGACCCCCCGCCCCAGCCGCAGCCCCGGGAACCGAGCGGACGGAATCACGCGGCAGCCAGGCCCTAGAGACGTGTGCTCGGCGCGCGCAGCCCACGGCAACCAGCGAGGGGCGGGGCGGCGCGGCCGGAACCATTGGCACGGGGGAGGACACCCCGTTCCGGACGCCCCCGGAGTTTCCCCGAAGCCTCGCAGATGACCCTCTCACGCCAGTCAGCGGTGTGCCCGCGCGTGCGCGCCAATCCTCCTGGGGCTACAGAAGGGGAGGCAGCGCAGGCGGGGCCCCATAGACGCAGTGCTCCCCCCCTGTCCAGCCGCGCCGTTGGTACGTACCCGCAGGCCCCGCCCCCTCCCCGGTTCCCTGCACCGGGGCCCGCATGGCGGCCGGCACGCGCCCGGCGGCCGGACCTCGGTCCCGCGCTGCCATGGCCCAGTGGAGGAAAAAGAAGGGGCTGCGGAAGCGCCGAGGCGCGGCCTCCCAGGCCCGCAGCAGCGACTCGGAGGACGGCGAGTTTGAGATCCAGGCGGAAGATGACGCCCGGGCCCAGAAGGTAGGAGCGCGGGGCCGAGGCACACTTTGGAGCCCGGGCCCCGGCTCCGCGCATCGCCCCGCAGCCTCGGTTTCCCCAGCTGGGGAGTGGGCACGGCTGAGGGTGGGGATCGGCTGGCCAGGGGTCGGAGACAGGACCGCCAGCCTGAGCACGTGTCTCCGTGCCCGTCACGCCCCGGCTGCCGACGCTAGAGCCTCTGCATTCAGGGGCCGGGGCCTTCGGGTCTTCCTGGCCGGCTTTTGGTCGTCGCCCCTCATTGGCTACCTCCTGCCCAGGGGGCGGGTCCTAGCTCCCTTTGGTCCAATGAAAAGTGCGGGAGCCGAAGCCCTGACTTCCAAGAGTTTGGGGGATTCTTGCCGGGTTGAATTAAGCGGAGGCCGGCCCCCTGGCTTGAGACAGTGACGCCCCCAAGACCCTGGTTAGCTAATAGTAAATTAAACTCGCGTTTGCTGACCGCTTAGTATGTGCCAGGCTCCACGCTAAAAACTTTACAAACCTTATCATATAATCCTCATACCAGCTCTGTGAGCTAAGTGCTGCCATCTCCATTTTCCAGAGGAGGACCCCGAGGCCTAGAGAGGTTAAGGAACTTGACCAAGACTTCACAGCTTGTGAGCGGAAGAGCCAGGATTCAAATCTCTGGTTCCAGGGCCCGTGCTGTTTCCACTACTGAGTGCCAACTATATATAGAAGGTGGAGGGTCGGGTGTGAGCACCAAGGGGGCAAAAGAGCTAAAAGCCCATTATTTCCCACAGCCCTGTGCCCAGATGGTGCCTGGCACAGAGTGGGGTTTGGGTAGGTAGATGAAAGAGTGAGTGTTTAGATGAAGAGAGGGATCTACGTTCCTCCAGGTCAGGGACCAGACTGGATCTGATTATGTTTCCCCACCCCAAGGGAGCCAGTGCTTGGCATACAGTAAGGTGCTCTATAAACATGGAGAAATTGCTAAAGCACAGGAGGGCAAGGTAGTAGGTGCCAAAGAAGATATGGTTCAGACGAAGAGCTTTGCCCTGGTGCAGTCCTGTGTTCAAATGTGGCCCAACCCTGTACTGGCTGTGGGACTTTGGAGAAGTTGTTTAACCTCTCTGTGCCACATCTGTAGAGGCAGAAGTTTACACATGCGTACGAGACAGAGGATTATATGTGCCTCAGAGACTCATGAAAGGATTAAATTACAGTGTTCACGCATTCTACTCATTCAGTAAATATTGCTGGGGCACCAGTGGATTCCAGGCACTTGGTTTTCACGTGTCTTAGAAGAGAGGTTGGCAAACTTTTCCTGTTAAGGACAGGTGGTAAATATTTTAGGCTTTGTGGGGCCGTATAATGTCATTGTCTTCTTTGATGTTTTTACAGTCTTTTAAATGTATAAAATCCGCTCTTAGCTCACAGACCGCACTAGACACACTGCGTCTCTGAGCCAGACAGTTGTAGGGGGCCACAGAGGGTCACAGATGAAAGAACATAGATTCTGAAGCCAGGGTTCAAATCCCTCCTGGCTGTGTGAGCGTGGACGGGTTACTTCATCACTCTGTGCCTCAGTTTCCTTCTCTGTAAAATGGACAAACTAATAGTCCCTACTTCACAGAGTAGCCATGAGGATTAAAAACGGGGTAATTTTATATGAATGCTCAGAGCATCACCTGGCTTAGAGCGAGGGCCACAGAAGTTTTAACCATAATGATGAACTAGTGCTCCATAAGTGTTATTTCTGAGAGGAAGGGGGACAGCTCTGTGGTCTGAGAAGGCTCCCCAGAGGAGGTATCTGGGTTGGATATAGCTGTGCTAGGACAAGTGGGTCCTGGCTAGGCAGGAAAGAGGCTGCACGAGAGAGAGCAGAGCTGGGAGGGGTGATGGATCAGAAGGGGGCTCGGGAGAGGGGTACAGGGCAGCTTGGAGAAGTCTAGTACCACACACACAGTACATGCTTTGATTGGCCCTCTAGAGTTTTTAATTTTGAGGGTATTGGATGATAGACCAGGATGACAGTGATGATAATACCACCATTTATGTGCTGGATGCTGATCTAGGCTTTACACTTATCCATTTAGTCTTCACACGCACTGTGAGACAAATGCTCTTGTCTGTCATCCCTGTTTCCCAGATGTGGAAACAGACTTGGGAAGATTAAGTCTCTCGCCTGAGGTCTCACAACTGGCAAGGGATTGGAACGTAGGCAGTCTATCTGCACGGCCCACTCTCTGAGCCTCTGCCCTGCCCGGGCCCAGTCATGGGGAGCCCTTTAGCAGAGAGGTCACGTGATCTGGTGGGGGCATCGTCGGCTTGAATGGAGGGGTGCCCACGACAAGATAGTCCCTCTCCCTTCCCCCAGTGGTCTGATTGTGCCTGGCGTGACGCTGCCTCTCTGTTCCTCCCTCCCAGCTGGGACCTGGCAGACCCCTGCCCAGCTTCCCCACCTCAGAGTGCACCTCAGACGTGGAGCCGGACACGCGGGAGATGGTACGCGCCCAGAACAAGAAGAAGAAGAAGTCCGGAGGCTTCCAGTCCATGGGTGGGTGAGCCAGGCATCTGGGAACTTTGGGGGAGTCACAGCAGGGGCTCATCATGCCCTCTGTGCTCTGGTATTGATGTCTGCTTGAGGCCCAGCTCTGTGGTAGGCATCAGGTAGACTGAGGACTGACCCAGTGAGAGAGCAGATAAAGCAGACTCAGGGCAGCGCTGATGACAGAATAGAGGACGCTCGGGGACTTACTGCAGGACAAAATGCATTTCAGAGGAGAGGGAGGAAAGGTGAAGTAGTGGGTGGTATCAGGACACCTGGCTAGCGGGAAAGAACGCTGAATGAACTCTCTTTCTTGCTCTTTACAAATCAGTAGCATCTGGCGCAAAGATTTAAATATCAAGGTGAATATTTTTATAATTTTAAAAAGAAGCCCTTTCTAAGTATGATCTGAACATTGTCTAATTTAACTTCTCTTCGGTTAAATGTATGTTTACAGAAAAACACTGTAAACTAAGTTAAAGTAAATGCTGTATCAGGGACGTACTTGCAACTTTGGGGACCAGTATAGGGTGAACATCTGTAGTATACAAAGAGCTTTTACAAATCAGTAAGAAAAAGATACCCTGATAGAAAACTGGGTGAAGAAAATGAAAAGTCGGCTCACAAAAGGAATTTGGATGGTGAATTAATATATTAAAACTGCTAAACTTTTATCAATAATTAGAGAAAGAGCAAATAAAAACATCTACACATGGCTACTTTTCACCTTTCCGGATCATAAAGATGAAAAGTTGACCAAAAAGCAGCTACAACCACGGTGCATCCTGTCCCCAGGCCTCCCGTTGTCCTCCCATTTCCATAACGCCAAGTCACGTTCAGTCTCCAAAGGCCACCTCCTTCCCCACACAGGGCCACATGCCTCAGCTGGTCAGCACCCATACTCACGCCCATCTCAGGCCCTGGCCACTCCCCACCCTTTTCTTTTAGCTATAAAAAATTTCAAACATCTAAAAAAAATAGTAAGTCTCCCTGTACCCATTGCCATTGTCAACCGTCCCGTTTCCTCCACAACCCCCACCCCCCGCCCCGCTTGTCCCCAGCATCCCGGAGGATTCTGGTGCAAATCACAGACATCCCCTCTCTGTATCCCTAAATACTTCCCACATGATCTTACCACGCCTGCAACAGGCACAGATCCTCAGCAGAGCTGAGACCCCACCACTTTGAGACCCCAAGTTGTCTCACGAGTGCGTTCAAGTCAGAATCCACATGAGGTGTATCCCCCCCAGGGGGTAGGTTTGTCTCCTAAGTTTTGTTCTGTCGCCTTTCTTTTCTTCTTGCTATTGACGTTGATGACACGGTCATCCGTCCTGGTTGGCTTTCCGTGGTGTGCCGCGGGGGCTGCCCTCCCCCTGACCATCCCTATGTCTCTCCCAGGCTTGAGCTACCCGGTGTTCAAGGGCATCATGAAGAAGGGCTACAAGGTGCCAACACCCATCCAGAGGAAGGTATGAGACGGGGGAAGGTTAATGGGGTTTGGGAGGAGGGGATGACTGACTTGGCCCTCCTGTCCAGCCTCGCGATCCCCGCCCCCTGTCTGGGCTGTCACATCTATCTCCCCTCTGACTCTGGCTGAAGCCCCACACAGCCGGTCCATTTCCCAGGTGGAGAAAGTTGGCCTCTTTGCCATTTGAGCCTCCCCAAGGCTGCCCACTGCTGAGCCCCTGCCCAGGCAGCTCACAGGTACCCCATTATCACCCCTGGGTCATGAGTGTTGTCCTCAGACAGTTAGCCAAGAGGTGGACAATGATCCTCTGGGGAGGAGGAGGAGGGTAAGACAGGGAGGTAGAGTCTGGCTTGACCTAAAGAAGGGTGTGTTCCAGCTGTAGAAAGAGTTGGGAGTAGTGAGCTGCTAGTTCCTGGAAGGGTACAAATAAGGCTTGGCAGGAATGGGCACAGGACTGGGCAACAGACCCCTAACCACTTACCGAGACCCTGAGTTTGCCCACTCCCTGGGGGCTCAGTGCTCTGGATCGTGTGGTGCAGGGGGCCGGAGCTGACCCTGCCCCTCCCCCACCCGCTTCCCTCCAGACCATCCCGGTGATCCTGGATGGCAAGGACGTGGTGGCCATGGCCCGGACCGGCAGCGGCAAGACGGCCTGCTTCCTCATCCCCATGTTCGAGCGGCTCAAGACCCGTAGCGCCCAGACTGGGGCCCGCGCCCTCGTCCTCTCGCCCACCCGTGAGCTGGCCCTGCAGACCATGAAGTTCACCAAGGAGGTGTGCTGGGGCCGTGGCTGCTGGGCTGAGCTGGGGCCGGTCAGGGAGGCCTGCGCGGGCTGAGTCATCTCTCTCTCTCTGTCTCTCCCCCGCACAGCTCGGCAAGTTCACAGGCCTCAGGACCGCCCTGATCCTGGGTGGGGACAAGTAAGAGCCCCCTTGCCCCGTGCCACGGGGGATTGACTGAGCCTGGGCGGCTTAGGTACAGCGATGCTGCTCTGCGCACCCCAAAGAGAAAGGGAAACATGCAGTAAAATGCCACAGGACTTTCCCACACGACTGCCGACAGGGGTTCGGGTGCTCCTGGGGAGCTGGTGGTGCACAGGTCAGCGCTCAGGCAGCGCGGTTGTACCTGTTTCAACACGTACCCCTAACAGTGGGCTGTCGCACGGAAATCAAGGAGTAAAGTTTGTGATAGCTCAGATGTGAAAAATGTAAGATTTCCTGCCGCGCTGGTCCCGTCTTTTGGGGTGGCAGGCACCATACCTGTTCCCCAGATGAGCAGACGGAGCACGTGATGGGCCCAGAGCCGCGCGGCGAGTTGGTGGTCGAGCTAAGATTGGAACCCAGTCTCCTGCGCCGTCCCGCAGGCTTCTCCCTCCCAGGGCAGCCCGTTCCTTCTTGTTCTCTCGGAATGTCGCTGTGACCGGTCACTTTGGATTCTGAGAAGAATGTTTGGCTTTTAAGTGTTCCTTTGCCTGCACTGTAATTTGTTGTCTCTGGAGCCCATGCCTGTCCGAAATGCCTCCCTGGGCTAGGCCAGACTCAAAATCCTGGCTCCCGCGGGCATCCCAAGGGGGTTTCAGAGGAGGACCGGAGTTAGGGCCATGTGCCCGGGGGTTTAAGAACAAGGACAGAGAGATCCAGGCCGCCTGGAATCTTGGGGAGCTGGCGGTCCCGGGGTTAGTTGGTAGGTGGCGCTAGAAGCCGAGGCAGGGTTGTGGCAGTCCAGAGAGGGAGTGGGGGCAGTTCCGGGGCTGAGCCCATCTCTTTGGGGAAGTCTTTGTGGTATCAGTCCTCCTGTGTGTTTGAACTCGTGTCTGGTCAGGGCAGCGCCTTTGCCCAGAGCCTCGGCGATCGCCTTTCCCTACTTCGGAGCCTGGGGGCGGGGTGTGGGCCTCACCTGACCACCTGGTTCTGGAGAGGGAGAGGGACTAAAGTGGCCTGTGTGTCAAGCTGACACCTCCTCTTCCCCCTAGGATGGAAGACCAGTTTGCTGCCCTGCATGAAAATCCCGACATGTGAGTTTGGGCTGAGGACGGCGGTCTGGGGTCTCCTCCCCAACGGCCAGCTCCTGGGGAGTGCGAGGAGGGCTCTGCCGGGGGCCCCAGTGACCTGGCCTGCACACCCCTTACAGAATCATTGCTACCCCCGGGCGCTTGGTGCACGTGGCTGTGGAGATGAACCTGAAGTTGCAGAGTGTGGAGTACGTGGTGTTCGATGAGGCAGACAGGTAAGACCACACGCACTCCCCTCTGCACCTGCACCAGGGTTGGCCCCGAGACCTGGAGGAAGGACTTGGCCAGGAGAGACCTGCATGGCCGAGCTCAAAGCACTGTTTCCCCCAGCGTGGGCCACAGACCTGAGGCAGCACCTGGGCTCACAGCTGCCTGCACCAAGTTTTTATTTGGTGTTTGTATATTGTATTTCCTTTTAGGGCTATGGGAGGAAACAGTAAAACAACAAACACATGATTTCAAAGAAATACAAAGTAGCACAAAGCTGGGAGCACCAGACTGGAGCCAGACAGGGGTGGGATCACAACGCAGCTCTGTGATCCTGGGCACATCTGAGGGTCTGTGGCCCTTGGTGGGCGCATCCACGGACAGGGCGCCCACTAGCCTGTGCTGGCAGGTGCTGGGAGAGTCAGTGCTTAGAAAGCCCTCACACCATGCCTGGCGCAGCGGGAGGGCCCCTGGCATTGGCCTCAGCATGACACAGAGCCGCGTAACTGAGAACAGACTCAAGGTTTTTAGGTCATCACTGCTGGGCATGCGGTGGTCACGCAGAGAAAAAGTGAGCTAAAAAGTGAGGTAAAGAATCACGTGGGACACACACCAGTCCACGTGGCAAAGAGTGTGCAGGGGGCGAGGGCCACGGGTTTGGAACTCGCTGGAGTGGAAGCCCCTCTCCCGACCCCCGCCCTCTGTCCCCCAGGCTCTTTGAGATGGGCTTTGCCGAGCAGCTGCAGGAAATCATCGGCCGCCTCCCCGGGGGCCACCAGACCGTCCTGTTCTCTGCCACGCTGCCCAAACTGCTGGTGGAGTTCGCCCGCGCGGGTGAGTGAGCCGGGGTGCGGCTAGGGGCCTGGGGGGCTCGTCCTTCCGTGGCTACCCACCTCCGCCCCCCCCCAACACCTTCCCTGTGCCAACCGCAGGCCTCACGGAGCCCGTGCTCATCCGGCTCGATGTAGACGCCAAGCTCAACGAGCACCTCAAGGTGAGGCTCCACCCGTGCCCCTTCCCGAGCCTGCAGCCACGGCCCTGTGAGCCCACCGTGGCCCCTCTCCCCACAGACCTCCTTCTTCCTTGTGCGCGAGGACACCAAGGCTGCCGTGCTGCTTCACCTGCTGCGCACCGTGGTGCGGCCCCAGGACCAGACGGTGGTGTTTGTGGCCACGAAGCACCACGCCGAGTACATCAGCGAGGTAGGGGGCTCCCTGAGGGAGCCAGCTTGGGGAAGCCGCCGCTGGACCAGCCTCCTGGGCACCACCACCTCCTCTGCGGCAGGCTTGGAGCTGCGGCTCCGGGTGCGGCCACCAGAGGGCAGCACCAGGGCTGGACACAGGCCTGGCCAGGGCTGGTCCTCTTTTATTCTTTAACTTTTTTTTTTTTTTTAAGATTTTATTTATTTATTTGACAGAGAAAGACACAGCGAGAGAGGGAACACAAACGGGGAGTGGGAGAGGGAGAAGCAGACTCCCCGCCGAGCAGGGAGCCCGATGCGGGACTCGATCCCGGGACTCCAGGATCATGACCTGAGCCGAAGGCAGTCGCTTAACCAACTGAGCCACCCAGGCGCCCTATTCTTTAACTTTTTATCATAAAGAATTCCAGGGACGCCTGGGTGGCTCAGTCAGCTAAGCGTCTGCCTTCGGCTCAGGTCCTGATCCCAGGGTCCTGGGATGGAGCCCTGAGGCAGGCTCCCTGCTCAGCGTGCTTCTCCCTCTCCCTCTGCCCCTCCCCCTGCTCATGTTCTCTCTCTGGCTCTCTCTCGAGTGCACGCGCTCTCTCTCAAATAGTGAGTAAAATCTTTAAAAAAAAAAAAAAAAAGAATTCCAAATACACACTAACGTCAGCAGATAGCATCACAAACTCCCAAGTACTCAGTTATCAACTCACGCCTAGTCTTGATTCCTGTGATATTCCCCTACATCCAGGTTATTTAGAAGTACCTCCCCCGCCCCCAATCCTGCCATTTTCTGTAGATTTTCAGTGTCCCGTGTATCTCACGTTTTAAAATGGAGGCGTGCCCTGCAAGCTGGAAGCTGGGTAGAGTGTCCTAAGCTTCTGGGAGCAGTGTGGTGGAGTTTTTCCATACACATATGCCTGGGACCCTCAGCATGGGGCAGTCCGGGTGTCCCAGAGGCTGCCAGGGCCCTTTGCCAGTTGTTGCCACCTACCCCAGGGCGGCCACACCTGGGGTTTGTTATCTGAGGACGCAGTTCACTGGGTTTCACGTGGTTGTTGTGCATTTAACGGTGCTTCCTTGTGCAGCTGCTGGGATCACTGATGAATAAAACCAAAATAGTAATTTTTTTTTTTTTTAAGATTTTATTTATTTATTCATGAAAGACAGAGAGAGAGAGAGAAGCAGAAGGAGAAGCGGGCTCCCCGCTGAGCAGGGAGCCCGAAGTGGAACTCGATCCCAGGACCCTGGGATCATGACCTGAGCCCAAGGCAGACGCTTAACCATCTGAGCCACCCAGGCGCCCAAAATAGCAGTTAATACTGTCACGGTACTTCTAATGTCCTAGGCCCTGTGCTCAGCCCTGTATACATATTAACTCATTCAATCCTCGTCACAAAGCCACAAAGAAGAAATTCTTAGTCTCCCTCGTTCTGCAGACGAGAAAAGCGAAGGCACCGAGAGGTTAGATAACTTGCTCAAGGTCACACGGCTTGTTAGTAGCAGAGGCGGGATGAGGTCGGTCCCTGCGGGGGACCTCTGCATTGATACTCCTCCGGCCCCACGGAGAGGTGGGAGGTGATAGAGACCTCACGTACTGACGAAGTATCACACCACAGCTACCCCTCAGAGCTAGGATTCAGACCGGAAGTGTCCCCCACTCCAGAACCCTCAGTCTTCCCACCACATCGTGGCACCCCCGCCGTCCGTGTCCTGGCTTCCTCACCCGTCCCCTGCAAGCCCTCTTACCCCTTTCCCTCCCTCTTGTCTTCACTCTGAGCAGCTGCTGACGACGCAGGGGGTGAGCTGCGCCCACATCTATAGCGCCCTGGACCAGACGGCCCGCAAGATCAACCTCGCCAAGTTCACCCACGGCAAGTGCTCCGCCCTCATCGTGACTGACCTGGCAGCCCGCGGCCTGGACATCCCGCTCCTTGACAACGTCATCAACTACAGCTTCCCTGCCAAGGGCAAGCTCTTCCTGCACCGCGTGGGTGAGGAGCCCGGGGCTGGAGCTGGCCCAAGGTGGGAGCTGAGGGTGCAGGGTCCGGTGCTCCAGGCGGAGACATTGAGGCCTGGGGAAGGGCCCCATAAGGTCGCGTCTCTGGGGGATGTGGCCCAGGCATGACTCGCACAGCTCTGAGCAGCTCTGGAGCTCTTCTGGGCTCTCTCTGCCTTTCCTGTCCTGGGGCCCGAAGACATGTCCCCTGACCCCCCTCCTCCTCACGGTCCTCTCCCTGAAACTCTGTCTTTTTAGTTCCTCTCCTTTAAACCTTTGCAAGATTGAACTAACACACGGACCCCTCTGCCTCCTGTTCATCCAGGGCAGACAGGAAGGAGCGCCTGACTTTGTCGAGTCAGCACGTGGGGCCCACCTTCCTCTCTGCCGTCCCAGGCCAAGGACTCTGTCATTTTTCAGGGATAAAAGTAAGGCACCCACATAGTAGGGAAACTGGAAAATGAAGCAAAGCACATAGAAGGCAGTAAGCCACGCGCCTGTCATTGGTGAAATGACAGCAACTGGTGTGTCCCCCCACCCAATGCTCCTGTCCGGCCTGGGTGCGAGCATTTTACTGGCTCTTTCCGTCTTCACAACCATTCTATGTAGTTGGTGCCAGCATCATCAGCCCCATTTTTTTTTTTTTTTTT